TGGATGCTCATTACTTTGTCCACCCTGGAACGCGAAGTCCATGCCTGACAATGAAATCATGATCTTTAATCGTGATTTCAAAGAAAAGTCAAAAGAGTGGATCCCAACTCCTTCCGCACTGTAATGTTTCTGCTTTTATTACTGCATTTCCTCTTGATTCCCTGAAGCAGCTAAGCCATACTTTTGAGCTATCTGCTCATTTCAGAAACTACAAGACAACAATCTGTGGAACAGAAGGTTGCAACTTTCCTTCACCCAGTCCCAAGTTGCTGCAGGGCTGACTGCTGACCATGCAGCCACTGCAGAGGAAAAAACCCAGTGATGCTCATGAGATTTCAAGGGGGGGATATTGGCTGGTGTCTGTGGTCTGGACCTGGACTGTGTACTTTGTCAGAATTCCCTTTGATACATGGTTACAGCATTCAACAAGACCATCTAATTGGCCATGGTACATTGACGTTTTTAGCAATTTAATTAATAGAGTCTTGGAGAGTTCTTGCATTGTAAGAGCTGTGAAGTTAGTGCTGTAATATATTTCAATTTGGTTACATAGACTGATCTGAGAACTGAGGTTTTAGTGCTAATGGGCTCTGAAAACATAACTGCTGGGTGTTGGGAGATGTAATCTAAAAAGATTGCACAGTATAGTAATCATAACAAGGATATAAGAGTATCCTACATAATTTCTCTTGAGGGAACCAACTAATGTAACCTCTCAAAGACAATGCAGAAGTGGTGGGGCCCAGGATTCCTTTGGAAGATACTGAGGGCAGGATAAACATTCAACATCTTGTAGATCAGGGTACCATCTGCATGCTCATGAACATTAATATCCAATTTTCAGTATCACAGTGTGTGAGAGATAATATTACTTCATTCACAGTCTTTTTCATTATTCAGCTCCTATTCAAATTCTGTCTCATGTGGTCTCTGTAGGTGCAGGACAAGGTCTCTTTATTACACATGTGCTGAAACAGAGGAATATTTTTATTCTGTGAAATATTGTAACAATGACAGTGATTAAGAGTGGAATTTGTCCAGAAATGTGGCCACAAAAATTTTTCTTAATACGGGTTGGAAGACTGTAATATTCTCAGCATTGGCATGGAGAATCTGGGATTCTGTTCTTCCAATCCCTAAGCAAAAATAATTTTCTTGAGTTTTATGGATACATTTTTCTACTCAGTTATTTTGTACTTCATCTGTTTAAATTTTGTTTACTAATTTAAATGCATTGGAGGCACAGTTTCAATAACTAATATTTGTATGTTTCTTCACAAAAGCCAGGTAAGGTAACATTTCCCTGGAGAAGGTATATAATAAATCAATAAAATCTGTGTAACATGATTGCATCAGTCAAATACACACAATTATTGAGCTGTTCAAATGCACACTCATTTTATGTATTTATATTTTTATTCTTAGAGAAAACAAAAAGAACTTCAACATTATTATTTTTATGCAAATGAGATATTAATTATCATACTTTCAAAATTAATATTCACCATCTTTAAATGTAAAATAATAATCTACAATTCTATAATTATATTTTAATCACTGAAGGATGGGAATTTATGCATGTTTTTCTTTCAGTTCTTTTTAATGGAGTCTGTAGCTGTTATAATAATGACAGACATTACACTTTGAATATCACTGTTGTTCCAATATCCCTTCCTAATTTTACATAAAACTTGAAATAGAAATAACGGGGTATGAATTTCCCCATTAATTTCAGTTATACATTAAGTGAAAAACAGTTTTAAAATTACTTTTAAAAATCAATACTGCTGATTATGGAAAGGACATATAGTTTCTTCCAAATTAAATCTAATTGCAGGAAGTCTATGTAGATAAAATGAAGAATGGTGCTAAAGCATATAGAAGATTTGTATGTCAAGGCTTTTAAGAACATATTTCAGGATCTGTTGGGGAGATCATAACTGCATCCATTTAGCTTGAAGACAGACCTAGCTTTCTTCAGTTTGGGAAATGTTACGTCAGGTGATGTGTAAAAGACAATGAGATCATGAACCATTGATGAATATAGCTTTTACATTTGTAAAGTAGCTAAGATCTTCATTGGGAGCTGTTAATTCATGCATTGAACTATACATATAAACAAAAATAAACTATCCTCTGTCTCTATAGCCACAAATTTCCTTGTCCTTTCTAAACCAGTGCTGTAGTCCCAGATTTAATTAAAACAGTGATTGAGATATGTATAGCTGCACACTCAAACATAAGCCATAAACACACAGAAACATTAACGACAGAAATGCATGCCTGTCCTTGCTTTCCCTTAGAAGCCAGTGTTTCATCTTAATGATGAACATGGACAGGGATGAAACATTATGTCCTGGATCCAAGGAGAGAGTGAGTAGGTTATTTCTAAAAGTATGGAGTACACTCATGTTCTCCTTGCAAAGAGCACAGTATTGTTCTCATTCTTGAGCACACTCTTGCCAATGTCCAAAACCAGGACTGGAATTTTTAGTGTTGTACTTATGCTGTGAGTGTGATTGAATGGTATTTGCAATTCCAGGGGTTTGTTGGTTTGTTTGGGGTTTTGTTTGTTTTGGTTTTTTTTTTAATGTTTCTTGTATGTGTGCTAATGGCTGTTTCCAAGCTATACCATTTGCTTAGCTGAGATCCTGCCTTGGTGCAGAAATGAGGCAATACCATATTCATGGGTCTGTTTCGTACCACTGGCAGAAGTGGGAACTGTGTCAATAATTTCAGAGAGAATCAGGACCTGTAGAATGATGTAAGTTTTATTGAATAATATATAATGGTCCTCAACAAGGCAAAATAATGATTCTCTTACTTTCTTTCACTACTTTTCTGTTTCCTTTGCCCCCAGCTTTTATCCTCTTATTTTCATAACCACAAGAAGAAAGTTTAATCTCAAGTGTAGGACTGCAAAACCAGCTTTGAATTTCTTTGACTGTTCTAACTTTTTATACTTCAACACCAGCAAGAAGAACCAGAGACTAGCTAGATCTTACCAGCTGAGAAAATGGGTGGGTCATTAGTTTGGCAGATCCATCTCCCATTCAGCCTCAAATGTTGGCATGTTTGACACCTCTACTTGTATCATGGCAAGTATCCATTAATCTATGAGTCACTTTGATTTCTATTTTGCATTAGGTATGCTAGAGGTCATATGCTTTGCTCCCAATAAAAACCACTTACTCCCTCTCTAAGTAACTGTGTAATCAAATCCTGAGAGATTAGAGGAGGCAAGGGACCCAGAAGAAGAGGTTAAAAACCAATCCTTCACTCAGAGAAGTAAAGCAATAAAAGTAGGGTGCACAGCTGGCAAAACTATGGAGAGTAATGAAGAGAATGATAAAAAAATTAGTCTCCAGAGTACTAGAGTACAGTTGAGGAATGAGAGTAGTTTCAAAGTGGCTGAAAAAAAGGCAGGGAGAAAAAATAATAAGTGGTAAATCCATGTGGGCAAACTAGAAGATCACAGTCAAGATCAATGAAAACAAATGATAAGCAAAAAAAGCAAAACACACAAAACATTCTGATCTGTAAGCCAGAACAAACAATCAGGATAACAACTTGACATGCTTTTCAGATTTTTGAAGGAAGGAAAATAGCAACAGAAATAGTGAGGGGAACAATTGTAGAACCTGATAGTGGAAATGAAAGGCTTCTATTCAACAGTTTCCATTTCTGTCTAATAATTTAAAGTTTTGCTGTTTTAAGTATAAACCAAGCAATGTAATTTACCTTCAAATGAGAGCAAACATAATTTATTCTAATTTATATGTATTTGAATTGTATATATGGTATATAATGGCTTTATTTTAACTAATAATCTGTCTCTGTGTCTCTTTAGTAGCCAGGTAGATTTCAAAGCAGTATCTTGACAGAAATGTGGCAACCTCATGCATCGCTGCGCTAGCAGGGGTGGAATAAAGCCCCAAACTTGTACTGACAACAGAGCCTTGTATTGACAACCTGGAGCAGGACAATCTGATTTTGCAACCTTGCTGTCTCCTTGCTACTATGTATACATAGTAGCAACAAAAAATAGGATTGCAACATTCAGGTCACTCATTTGTCCTCATCCATGGAGAAGGGAAATCTCTTTATGCTGTAAAGGAGCAAAAACACCCAGCAAAAACATTCAGCTCAGCTGCCTGGGTTGCACAGTCTTTGATGATGTGGATGCCCGAGTTCCCAGTATGGTCACTGGAGCCTACTCAGCTCACCCTGTGCATTTATTTTCAGAAGAGCTAAACAGCTCTCTAGACAAAGTCTAGACTGTAAGCTTGGCTGCCTAAGACCTCAGTTGACTACAATGGGAGTTCAGACACCTTGCTGATGAATGGACATCCGTGTGTAGGAGTTTGAATTTGCAAGCTAACATCCTGCTCTTTGAGTGTCGTAGCCGGGGCAGAGCACTGGGGAGTCTCCTGGAACAGGCTGGGTGGACACACATCAGGTCTGGCAGCTTCAGCTCCAGCTGCCACCCAAGCCCTGTTCCCTCTGTCTGGCATCGGGAGGCTGCACAGCCCTCAGCAGCAGTCAGCAGGCTGATGAGCTTGGGGGAGTTTGTTCTTTTGCTCAGATCAAGTGTAAAAGGTATTTTCCCTAATGAAGAACGCAGCAGGTACCATTTTACCCAGGTCTAGTGGCTGTTTTCTCTACTAAGGGCAGACACACTGGCTGAAATCTCTGTGTTTATAAGCCCTATACACAAAACATCCCACCGTCATTCACTAGTCCTTCATAATTTTTGCTGAATAATAAGCTGGACCAGTGGGGAAAAAAAAGAAATAAAAGGTTAGGTAAATTGTTCTTATAGGGACTAATTATAAAATCCATGACTATGTCATTAAACAAGCCGTTGACTTCAAGTCCGTTGGCAGTGCTCCCTCCTGTATATTCTGAATGAGCTCCTATAAACAAGTTTTCTGGAAGAGTGAGGGCTGATATAGGGAGTATCAGCTTAGCTAAGTGAAGCTTAGCTAAGAGGGGAGAATTACTTTTTGTGTTTATAATTGTGAGTATTTGCTGCTATGTTTAGCAGGACCCATCTTAAAAGATATTGTCTAGCTTATAAAGTAAAAACAAATGTTGAAGATCAAAATCCTGTTTTCATATAAAACCCTTACCAAATTAAAAAAGGAAAAAAAAAAAGAAAAGAGAAAAATATTATTGAGAAATTCTAAGTCCTGGAATTTTCCATGTCGAGCTGATCCAATGCAGACAGTACAGACTAAAGAGAGGATTTTTTGTGCTTGTGGTTTAAATAGGATGAGGTTAATATTTTTTCCCAATTGCAATCTCTTTCTGTAGTGACAGGGTATGTTTCTAATTTTATTTATGGAGGTGGGTGGGTTGGATCACTGAAACGAAGATTTTGGTTTGGATGTGGATTTGTATACCTATTCCTCCCTGTAAAGACCAGGGCTGCTTGTATCCAGACTCATCTTTTCAATTAATTTGCAGTAATTAAAGGGTGCTGTGTGGGATGGGGCTAAAGAGAAACACAATTAAAATCTAATGCTTTTACTTTGGTATCTGCATCCTTATTTATTTTAAACTATCTTCAATGCTCTGACGAATTTAAGTCTTCCTGTATCACATACTGTGCAAACAGAAATATGTGAGTGAACTGTTGCCAATGGCTCTGAGCAAGCATGGGGCATGTTTCAGATTACACTGTGTTTTCTTGTTTGGATCTGATCTCCTTGCTAGGAGAGGCTGAGAGAGGCAGCTTGGGGGGATTTACTTCTAGCAGCAGCAGCAGCACATGATCCATCAATCGCGTGATTCTCACCACTAAGGACTAATGGGGAGGGTGAAGAAAAAGTAAATGCTGCCTTGGGGAAGCAACAGTATTTTCTTCTGCTCCTGGGGCCCCTCCACCAGCTGGACATTTCATGGCTTCTCCAAGGTTAGAAACCTACTGCTGCCCTAACAGGGATGCAGCTACACAGCTAGTGATGAACTTCCAGCCTGAAGTCTTCTGCGGAGTTTGCATTGGCAGTGCCTCCATCAGTCTGATGCTGACCATCCTGCAGCTTCTGCCAAAGAAAGGGCAGAGCCCACGGAAGATGCCCAAAGCCTCCTCCTCTTCCACCATCCTTCTCCTTATCTCCATTTGTGACATCCTTGGAGGCTTAGGTAAGTGCCCACTTGATGTCCCTTGCCATTGCTGTAGCAGGTTCTTGTTGCCCTGAGGTACCATAGACAAATGAAACTGGTGATTGGATAGCAGAGATTTCTGAGAAAAACATGCTCTATGTGTTCACAGAAAGATTTAGGCTAGGTGAGATCAGAAAATAATAGGCCTTTGGGGAGAAAGTTCTTGTTCAGTAGTTATACTTTAGAAGTGAAAGCACTTGACAAATCTACACCAAAATCTATGCTTTAACACAAATTAAAATCCAGAATAGTGGCTGGTCCTCTGAGTAAGGCATAAAAGTGGAGGTGGTGCAGCACATTGAAAACTAAGCTGACATCAAACAATCCTTACAACTGCATTTGAAAACCACTGTCCTCTATGTCTTTAAATCCTCTCAGACCAAGAGTGCCTCTTGTCATGTGCCAGCCGCTTCTCTGGGCACATCACATTGACAGCAAGTGAGTTTGAATTGCAGCTGGACACAGGCTTTTGAAATGCAAGTGAAGCTCCCTTATCAAGGATAACCTGCTGTCCAGCCCCTGGGTGATAGGTTGGAGGAGTAGAACAGCAGAGAATAAAACAAAATACATGAGTCAAAATGAAACTAATGTGTCTTAAGCTGTCCCATCAATCATTTACTACCAATTGGTTACAAATTACCATGACACATGAAAATACAGGACAAGTTTGTTTCTACAGTAGCATTTTTTCCTTCACATTAGGTAATAGAAGTAGTGCTGTTTTGTCTCTCTTGCTGCTCCGAGTGGGGGTTGTGTGTGTGCGTGTCTGTGTGTTTCAGGTCTTTTCCCCTTTCATACCTCTTATACTGTTCTCTCACAGTGCCTAGTAAGTACCAATACTAAAACAAACATTATAGGGGGAAATAAAGAAAGAGGGATATGGAAAATACATATGTACATTCGCCTGGAAAAGGTCCTTTTAGTCAGATGAGGCCAGCAAAATTGGGTTTTTCCCTTTCTCTTTTACTGACAAACTCAAACTAGTTATCCAGTATTGTTTTTGTATTAGATTCACTTTGGTGGGTGGGGAATAGTTCATTCTTGGTGGGAAATCTGGTGGGTTTGTTATATTTTGGTGCTTTATTTCAAGCAAACCCAGAAAACCTCACTAACAAACTCTAAGTTTATTTTTAAAAAGGGTAGTGTTCTCTCCTAATTCTGAAGCCCTGTTTTGGTTCAGTCCTGTGACAGAGAGGAGAACAGTTGCTTGTAAAAATGAAGGCAGCAAAAAGTGGGAAATAACTTTTTTCTGCAATGAGGGATTATAGAGAAGTGAATATCAGTGTATGAATATATGCTGGTAAAATTGTAATAGTTAGTGACTGTTTTATGTCAATCTGTTAACTGCTACCCAGTTTATTTTAAGGAAGTGTGTGAGACCATCTGTAAGTAAGTGAGATTTTAATCTACATAACATTGCAAGTTCCAGCAGCTTCCAACTCTTGGGGCTACTTTTCCCTGAATGATTACACTGACATTTAAATAACACAGTTGTCCCTACTGTGCTCCTCTGCAGCCGTCGCCTTCTGGGAGACGCACAAAATCTGGGCTGCGATGTGAAATATGTGGCCAGGGGAAAGCATGTGATTCAAATCACACCAGCAGATTCAAAGCATTAATACTTTTTTTTTCCTTAGGTATGATCTTTAGGTCAAGTGTATGGCTAGGCTTCCCAGGCTTCATAGCTAACATTTCTGTGGCGAACAGGACTGATGTGTGGCCTTCCACTTTCTGCGTGGGGAGCGCGGTAGGTACAGAGGTCATCCCCCCTTTCTCCTCCTCCCTATTAACAGTCCCTCCTCGTGGGGAGTCTGAAAGGCAAACTACTGTGTCCAAAAGGAAATGTGGCTGTGAGTCAGAGCCTGGATATGGTGGTTTCAGCCTCTGCCACACCCCTGCAAGTACGTTCTTGCCTTCCTCTGAGAGTCTGTGTCAGGACGGGCAGGGTGCTACACGATGCTGCGTGGTGCCTGTGAGGATGTAGGGCAGCACAGGTCTAAGGGATCCCAAGAGTTTTTTAGTATTCACTCATTGCAGGATTGCCAGGGTAGTGGAGGTCATACCTGTACTAAAGTCAGGAATATAGAGCCATAAGGGTATAAGCAATCCTGAAAGGGCTGTGAACCACTGCTGGCACTAATACCCCAGTGGCTCTGTTGCACTGGTAGCATGAGATTATTTTCCCACTTTCTCTGTCAGAAACTACAGCCTGTGTGGTGGCAGTGGGGACCTCCTGAAACCAGCAACTTGGGTAGCTCAAATTAGCCTTTGTGGCATGAGCATGTGTGTTTTAGACACAGAGGAACTTAAAGATAAATATACTCAAAACTGGAAAGCTGCTGGCAGAAGGTCTGTCTCTGCCATGTAGGATTACACCTCAGATTGCTGCTTATATGGGCATTCAGTGAATGCATCTGGACAAGTCGAGTTAAGTATCTTCTGGATTAAAACACAAGAATAAGAAAATGTAAATGCATTCCAAAAGTACAGATTAAAACTCAGTTCCAAATTTTACTATCATAATACTGAGACATATAATTTGAGTTTACTATACAAGAATAAAGGTAACATTTTTTACCAAAACACGGAGAATGACAGATAAGATAGATCATCACTTTACCCAAATTCAACAGATAGGGTGCCCAGTGAATGAATGCATGAGCAGTAATAGTATTAGATTTGCAATTCAAAGTGTACAATGTAGAAGGGGATATGCTGCATGTAAAGAAAATTATTCAGTACTTTTTAAATAGAACAATATGTGCCAGCTTGAACTCACTATGCCTTGTATGCCTATATAATGGCAATTTCAAACATGACAGTTTTATGCCACGTACACAAATATAAATTGTATGCACCTATTGATTCTCAATTCTGTCATACATCCTTAAGTTTTGCTTATTAGATGCAAATGCTCATTTTTTTCCTTCAAGGAAGAGGAAACCAACAACTTCAATATCTTGTAGCAAGAATGTCCTATTCAAAACATGTGTTTCCTCATATTTTAAATTTCACTTTCTTGCCCTTAAGACAAAAAATAGTATTTTTCAATGGTGACAAGATACTGAATGCAGACTGCTTGTTTTTCATTTGAATCTCAGGTTAGATGGTGAGTAGCATAGCGGTCTACCATAATTTTTATTTTCCCCTTCTTGGACTCTAGTAAAATGCTGTAATTTGAGTCACTTTAAATTTAGATTTAATTATATTGGAATGAAAACTAACCCTCCTTCCATTCACTTTCCCATACATATTCTCATGTGAGTTAATAAAATGTTTCCAATTCTATTTTATTTTTCTTTTAGCCCCACTGTTTTATTTTACTTAACCACAAGCCAGTACAAACTCCAAATAGTGAGGCTGTTACACATCTTCTTTAAATGGTTTGCAGAGGGGTTCTCTCTCAGGCACTGTAGCAAAATGTGTCATTTTGCTAAAAAGTAAAATAGCATATGAAAATTTTTGTTATATCTGATTTGTATTGGTTTTGGAGACAGTCTTGTCTATGTTGGATTTTTTGAAATCCTCGCAGTTTATTTTTGTATATGTGTGTGTACATATAGTAAATTGTGCATTTTTCAACTGCAGCAAATATGTAAACATACAGATGAAGTTACATGCTCAGTGCCATGGGTAAAGTGCATTAGAAGGAAGACTGGAATTTTTTTTTTTTTTGCTCCTGTGCACTAGGAAAATGTCATGGTGTTTGAATTAAATGCTGAATAATTCGTGCCACGAATGACTAGAGGTAGGGTCTACACCCATGGTGAAAGGAAATATTTCCCTGCTTGATTTGCCTTTCAGAGGATGGAATGGTTGATCTCTATTCACTGACATTTGGCTCAATAAAAAGCATGTTGGTTTCCAGATGTAAAATGATGCCGCTATGGAGCTGTGATAAAGGATATTCAGATAAGAACTGAAAGATGTCTTGGAGGGAAGGTAATCTGAATATTAAACAGTTCCAGACTATTACAAAGAGCCAACTCCTATGGGGAAGAAATGTGGAATTTATAAACAGCGGCAAAGAAAGGTCACTTATCTTATACAAACTCATGGGTAAAATTCATAAGGTCAGCTCAAGAATGCTGTTGAATTTAACTTGACTTGAACCTGTTTCCTTTGTATTTTTATTGAAGAAATCAGTCAGGGAATTCAGTATGGATATTTTTCCAGAGGGTGAGTGATTTTCTCATTAGTGACCTTTTTTTTCTTGATAACCGTTCCTTGAATCAGGTCCTTGTGCACTGAGAAAATACCTCTCACGTGCAGAACCCAGAATGCATAGGCACACTGTGGTTATAACTGACCTCAGTTATATTTTCATGTCTCAGCTACTGAGAAACACTTAAGATTTTAACCTAAAATTAAAACATCCTCCCTATAAATTTCTCTGGGCTTCACTTATGACACTGAGGTTAGGAATGGAGAGGTAAATAACAGGTTTTCTAAACTACAAAATAAGCTGTGAAAGCAAACACTGCTCAATTTACCTGTGACTTGACCCATAGGCTACAACAATGCTGTTCCTGTGATTTTGAGTAAGATTTCATACTTTATAATCTTGTCTGGAAAATACACACATTTGAAGAACAACTCATCAGGCCAAAGTCCCTCCCCTGCCCCAGTGGTACTCGAGAAGCAGCTGTGACATTTGGCATTTTTTCCCCTCCAGATGTGGATCCAGCTGTTATATAGTGCTGGCTTCTGGTGGTTGTTTTGCTATGCTGTTGATTCTTACTTGGTGGTGAGAAGATCAGCAGGACTGAGGTACCAGAGCTAAAGCTCTGAATTTGTTATTTTCCTTCCAACACTGTATGTCTGTGTTTGCAGCTATCTAAGGGTATAAGTGAAGTTTGTACAACTATCTGATGTTCATATGGTTACCAGGTAACGATAGAGATGAGTGATGTTCTAAGTACTTAAATTGCCAGAGTAATGCTCAGATGTTTATTTACATCCAACCTAAATTTAAATGTAACTGAACTCATTTGACCTTTGGAAAAATATGGAGCAAATTGTGGTCTATAAATTTTGTGGCAGTGAGATGACTATTTGGTCCCTGTTCTGTACCTGAAATTGATTCTTGCAGAAAAAAAAGTGTTATCTTGAAAATGAAAAATTGAGAGGGGGAAAGTGCTGAATTTCATATAGTTCATTTCCCATTTTTTTAATTTTTCTCGGACTTTCTATTTTATCCACTTCTCAGGGTGGTCATTATTTCCCTTCTGATCACACTTGTAAAGTTCTGAGGAACTTTACAATATATTTTTCTGCAATGCCTATGACAGAAGAACTTGAACCCTTTGGAAAGTACCATGCTTTAATGCCAGACAGAAAATATATGATGTCTCTAAGTTGGTTATTTAAAGAACAAAATAACCTTCAGTTGCTACTGCTAAATGTTGGATTATGTGCTTCTGTTCCCAGAGGATACTTAGCAGTCGGGTACAGAAGATATGGTTCTTATGACAAATGTTACCAAAATGGGGCTTTTTGAGTTAATTTCACACTGTTGAGGATAAACCTGATTTTTTAAAGTCCTATAGTTCTAGTCTGAAACATCTGGGACCTACTTCCTTCCCCCTTCCCTGTTACGCAAAAAAATCATGTGTATTTGTGCTTGATTCTAAGATCAGAGTAAACAGCAAAAGACTTTCTACACATACAGATCTGAATCTCCCTAAGACAGGAGCAGTATCCAACTCTGAAAATTAAACATAGTTCTCTTCAAATTACATGTGTTTTATTTGACTGTTCAACTCCATTCCTAAATTTTAATCTGCTAATTTGCTCTCTGCAGGAGAAATGAAAGATGCAGGGGTTCCTTATGGATAAAGGGAAGGGAAGAAGTCCTGACCCTCCACCCTACAGGCTGGAGGGGACAGGACCTTTATGTGCAAGCCTGAACAACTTTGCTTTGCTCATTTTTTTTCTGGAGGAGCCCCCCCCCCCGCTACACCTGCTTTCCTTAGTTTAATGTACTGCCAGTGTTGTTCTGCATGATTTCCTATCTGTAAAGCTCTTTTTCAGTGAGGGTCCTATTTTTACCTTGCAACATGGATCGTGTAAGGTCTGATATCTTTAATTGTGCCTGTCCTGTTTGGTGCTTGCAGTACAATTGTGCTGTACCACATGATGACGTGGGGCCTTGCAGTGCTGCTCTGCGTGGAGGGGATTGCACTGCTTTATTACCCTTCTATCTCCAGGTAAGCAGAACTCTGGGAACAGACTGCAAAATTGTAACACTCTCTGGTCATTTGAATGTCGTTTGGTCAGCTTTAGGGGCAGACATCCAAAACCTGGGCTTTTTGATCTCTGACGAGCATGTCCCACTGAGTCAATGAGTATGCTGGAAATACTTCCCTGGGTTTCAGGGGACCCAGAAGAAAAATGCCAGGCAATACAGGTACTTGGGCATGCTTCAGGGCTGTGATACAGCTTCTGCTGTGAGCCTACTGCTCTCCCACTCCTGGTTTTAGCTTTCCTTTAAATTTGAGAAAAAATGCACAGACAGTGCATGTTATAAATCAGCTTTATGTCCAATATGAACTGATGGTGAAGGTCTATGAATTATAAGGTTTGCATCTGTTTGCTTCATTCCTTTTTATTTTTTTTTAAGTTAAAGGTGATATAGAATAGCCAGAACTGTCAGCTGTGGGGAAAAAATGCATAAGCTTTTAATGATTTCTTCTCAGCTGTGAAAATGGCTTGGAACATGCAATCCCACATTACGTCACAACCTATGCCCCACTCCTGCTAGTGCTGGTGGTCAACCCAATCCTGTTTAGGAGGACAGTATCAGCAGGTATGTTCCTACTGGCCAACATCAATCAATATGTGTTATTTAGCAACAAAGCAATACTGTAGAAAGTCATGTCTTTGTATTCCGTGATGTGGGACAGCTTCTCAATAAATCATAAAGATACAGCAAAGGGTGGGAAGGAGCTGCCTATTGAAATGAAGATACCATCTTGATGGGGAATTTGCCCTAGAGACACAGTCTGATGACATACTCAACCTGTTCTGTTATAAACACCTGCTGTAGATTGGTGAAAGTATTTCTGTGTTACTTGATTTAAAGCATCTGAGACGATGTATAGTGGATGCTAAACTCTGCTGTAGCTTTGGTACCAATCTGGACTTTGGAATGTAATTTATTCTGGTTTAAAGATAACATTGGCGAGATCTGAGAGTTGATTTAACTTCTTGGCAGCCCTTGAGCTAAAAATGTAATAAAATGTGATCAGAATTTTGTCACTTCTGATTCTGAGATTATGAAACAAATGGGAATTGTACACAACTCAGATGGGATCTTGAAGTTCCAGTTTAATTTATTATCCAGTGCTTGGAAGAAATGAGACTGAATAAAAGCTACAGATTCAATGCATTCTTTGCATGTAATATGATAGTTCTAGATATTTGCGGTATCTGAATATATCTACACATTTATTATACAAAAACAGCAGGAAAAGATCTAGTCTTCTCAGTTTAGTCTTCATCCCATCTATCCTGTGTCTCTCAGTAATCCTAATTTTCAAAGGAACAGTTGTTCTTTTAAGAAGTTGTTCCTGTAAAAACTTGCCCTTTTTATGGGAAAATACATAGAGTGTATTGGTTTGTGTGTTTGTATATTCCTTGTGATATCTGAACAGCATGTGGCATAACTATTTTTTTGTGACATTTCATCTTCAAGTTTCAGAGGTGTAGATAATGCTTTATCAATGACACGGTGAAAAATGATGGGCATAATAGGATAGAATCTATTCTATTTTAGTCTGAACATCACATAGTAAGTGTGTAATTATACCACACATCATATAGAGGTTGTGTGCACTACCTTTTGTTGTAAAATAAAAGTATATTGACTATACTGTTTAATATATTCAGGGGGATTGAGAGAAGAAAAACCAACTCGTGGGACATCACTCGTTTTATGAATCCAAATGTGTGTAATTATTTTCCTTTAGGATTAGGCTGTATGTGAGATTCCTTTATAATGGTCCTTCCAGCTTCTGAACTGCTGCTGGAGACAGCAGTTCCCTCTTTACAGGCATCTGTCTTCTGGATTCTTGTGCCTAAACTAACAAGATACATGTCTATTAATGAACATAATTGTATGCTTTCCAGTTGCCTCCTTACTGAAAGGAAGACAAGGGATTTACACGGAGAATGAAAGACGTCTGGGAACAGAGATCCAGATGCGCTTTTTCAAAATTATGCTGGTATTTGTTATTTGGTAAGAGGTGTATTGTTTTGCTTTAAACTGCCTTTTTCCCAGCTGGAGAGGGTATGGGACAAGAGTAAAACCTGATCATTTGCTTCATTTTTTTGTCTTTATGCTTGGAAGGGAAGGTGTATAAGGAAGAAGCAGTTCTAAACTAGTTCACAACGGCAATGAATCATTCCTGTAACATCACAAAGCTGTGAGGAAATGATAAAATGTTTAACCATCAGAAAAACAAAAGCACCAAGAAACAATAGCAAAAAACTCCCAATAGGTTGGGCATAGACTGAAGCTGTGTGGTACAGCAGCCTCCCAGCACTGAGGGCTGATAGATGGCTTTCTGTAATCCAGATTTCTCAGAGCCTCTTGTCGCCAAACACATCACTGAAAACCTACAATAAATATGCTTCTAAGACTGGCTTCATGGCTCTGACTATGATTATGTAATGCTGCAACCTCTGTATTCTGCAGTTCCCAAATGCCTGAAAAGAACTTGCATATCTACTGGAAATACAAGGTTATATGCCAAAAATCTCCATATGATTGTGTGTGAAATTTCTGATTGTTTAATTTTATTTTTTTTTTTAGTATTCCATCTTGCTTCATGAAAATGGTACTTCAAGGTAGGATAGGAAAGAGGCAGTAGGACAGGGAGGAGAGGAGTGAGGCAGCAGGAAATGGTCCTGGAGTAGTGAAATGACTTGGCCAAACTTACAGTCTCTACAACTAAACTTTTTTATACACAGGTGTATTAATGCATGTTACATTGCTTTAAAAGGCTGAGCAGGAAGAGACGCTGCCTTTTTTATCTTCTCTTGGCTGCTGGAGTGCTCTGAGGGGACATGATTATCTTTTCTTAGGGAATAACTGAGTCTACTTGGCTTGGGAGTGAAGTTTCCAATGTGAAGGGTGGGGTAGCCAGCAGAGAAAGGAGACAGAGACAGCAGCAAAGGATCCTGCAGCATGGCTTCCTGGAAATTGCTGAAATAATGAGGAGCAGAGATTTAGTCAAGCTTCCAGGGCTGTGGAAAGAAAGAGCCCAGAGGCACCACAGAAGTGCATTGCAACTTAAGGAATGGTGGCCAGCTTGATGATCTGGGAGCAAGCATGAAAGAAAAGGCCAATTTCCTATGGACACTCTGGGGACATTTGTTTATTTCCATTATGTCTCATTCTGGCTTTTCCTATTGAAAAAAACCCCAAACAAAATCACAGCTCTGATTTAGGATTTTGTTCTCATAAAACATAAGCTTTAGAGTGTAAAAACCTCTCTCAAAGGTTACTGGAGGGAAAGACTGAGGCAGTCCTCTCTCAGAAGCTTAGGGAAGATTTCCTTCCGTCCCAGAAGTCAAATCTGATATGACTTAGTCAAAGACAGCAGGATGGGGCAACACAGGGTAGAAGAGATGCCTACAGATTTGGGAGGGAAGAGCAGGAGGTTTTACACTGGGATAAAAATATAATTGGAGGAAGCACATGCATAAAACCCTTTGGAAAGTATGATATGGATGCTGATGATTTCCTTTCTGAAGCTGCAGTAGAACTAAAAAAGAAATGCTGGTCTAACTGTTTAGAAGTCATAGGAAATTACAGCCACTTGCTATAACCTTTATTTAGTGTAGAACACACTCAGTTTCTTTCACATAATAAGGCTTGATTATCCTCATCCTTATTTGGAAACAAGTATTACCTTTATTCAAAAAAATTAATAGCATTTTCAAGGGTTTTAAAGTCAACTTTGGTATTGCTTTGTAGTTTTTTTATGGACATTTTGAAAGTTTACTGTAATCTAACCCTGAAATTCAAACTCCAGCTGGAATTCCTAAGGCCTTTTACAACAACATGTGCATATATTTGGTTTCCTTATCTGTGAGCACAACTCTTTCAAGGCATCAGCGAAAAAAGTCAGCATGAATGATGTTCCCATTATGGATCACAGTTGCTTTTCATCTCAGTTTTATTCTGTAATTTACTGTCATTGTTCTGCAGCAAGTTCAAATTATCAGGTTCTGTTTGTTTGGTTTTTTTTTTTCTTATTTTGACTTCTTTGTCCAGGCCTGGGCTAGTAGGTAGGTGTCTGGTTTTTGATCATGGTCTCAGAAAGCTACTAGTTCCTTTAGATTGAGATTTAACAAGTCCAGCTGTGTTGAACTTGATGATCTTAGGAATCTTTTCCAACCTTGATGATTCTGTGATTAAAAAAATCTTACTGTCCTTATTAGTGATCTTAATTTGTATAATTTGAAGGTAAAGCATATTTTACATGTACATAGATATATTTAACTGTCTTTTTCTTCTTTGCTCCTCCAATAGCTGGTCATCCAATATTATCAATGAGACCCTTTTGTTCTATCTCGAAATGCAGCCAGATATCAATGAAATGCCCCTGAAAAACATCAGAAGTGCTGCACTGATCACATGGATTATAATGGTAGGTCAGAAGTGACATTGCTTAGTCTTAGAAATCACTGTTATAAGACTGGTGGAACAGTATAGTATGTGGTTTATAATTTTGGGGGATATAAACACTCTGAAAATCAAGGAAGAAAATCATTAAGTAAGAGAAAGGAATGAGCAGTCACTTGGGAGCGCATTTCTCATAGAAACTTTGACAAAGGTGTACTAGGGACCAGCTTTTTCTCCCATTTGCTGGAGTATGCATTCTCTTTGTGAGTAATCACTACCCATTTTAGGATCCAGAACAGACCACTACAATGATTTCTAGCCTAACCTTGCTAATCTCTGCAATAATGCAAGCTGCAAAGTTTTAGCTCACGATTCCTGAAGGTTTCCCCATTAAATGAGCATTTTATGGTAATTCTCTGTTTGCAACTAAGGTGGTTTTTTTTTAATTTTAAAGAATAATTACATCTTATATCTTGACATTCTGGTCATTATTTGGGGACAAATAGATGAAAAATCTTGGAAACAAGGCACCAAAAATAGCTGTAAGATGCTGCTCTGTTACTGTACCTTACCCTCTTTTCTCCTGTTAGAATATTTGATTTTTCAGAGGTGATGTTGCATGTTCCTTTTCCAAGAAAATTTATTCTGGAGCTGCTAAATAGCTGTAAGGCCTGAGCATCCTTTGTATAGTTAAGCCCTTGAGCAGTTTGATATTGAAGGATTAAGTGATGCAACTGATGTAATACAGTGTCCTCTTCTGAGAAGGAGTGAAAACATTCATGTGACAGGGACCTTGCTCTTGCTCACCTAGAGAGCAAGAGGTCAAGTCTAGGAACTGAACTATTTTTTTAATTGGCTGTAAAAATAATTTCCTCTTTTCCTGTGAGAAAGATGGAAGCAGCTAAAGCCATTAACTTGCTAAGCATCCCATGGCACTGGGAACAGGCAAAGTTTTTTGGAGATCGCTCAGAGTTTTCTTTTTTAGTACCTCTCCCCATTTTACTGTCCTGCTTTGATGGACATTTTCACTGGCTCAAGAGTCTAAAGGAATTCCAGACAGATCAATTCCTGCTGATTTAAAATGCTTGTCTGTATATGCTAGTGCCTATGCTTATGTATTTGACTTGGTTTCTAATGAAAAATATATTTGCTTTCATGAATAAAAAAGTCTAGAGTTTGTGGGGAAAGTTAAAAATGCACCAGGGGATTGACTGGCTAAAATTCATGCTAAAAAGTCATTTGGTGCTTAGGTTCTCTGGGATGGCCTCAGCCATTTTGGAACAACAGATCACAGTATTTTACTCTGATTTGTTTGTGTCTGCAATGGCCAAAACATACATTTTTATTTGCATGCAAATAGCATATTTTAAAGCAATTGTTCATTGGAAGGGAAGTTGTTAATACATACAAAGCATTTTACTGGAGCTCAAAATGAAGCCTTGCTGGTGTAATTCCTGTTGTACTTCTCTTTCCTAGGGGGTTCTTAATCCGATGCAAGGCTTTCTTTTCACATTAGCTTTTTATGGGTGGACAGGATGGAGAGTGGACCTGAAATGGCGAAAAAGAGAAATCCCCTGGGAATCTATGTCCTCGTCAACTGCGGGGGAAAATGCCTATCCCTCTCCAGTGAACTACCAGAGCAACGTCCATGATTCAAAGAAGATATCGACAACTGACAGCCAGCAGACTGATGAGGCTATAAGCATGTTGTCTGAAGGTAACACTAGCAGTGATGAGAGATTAACCAGAAGCTCTCCCATCTACCAGGGCTGGTAGTTTTAGGTGCAGAGCTGGATCTAACTTTTCACATTGTCAATACTTATAAAACCACATTAATGTGTGAATCATTGTGTACTCTGGAATTAGGTTTGTGCTCAGTGGCTTGATGTCATTTCCTATAACTTGAGAGAGTGTGTGAAAGAGCATGTGAGACAGAGAGATATGGTTTATATCTTTATTTGCCTTCTAGGAGACATGTAAACAGGTATAAAGGCTTGATCCTTTTTCAGTAGGAGCATATCTCTGCAAAGATATATGTTTCTGACAATTAATTTTCATCCATTTTGTTTTAATCTCTCTTGTAACCTCCATACAGTAGAAGACTCTTTTGTTTAAATAAATGGACTATTAATATGTTGGGTTTTTAAATGTGTTGCCTTGCTTGCCTTGCTCAGCATAAAATTCCTCACCCAGAATTACAGGTCTAGGATTTCTGAGGCACCATTTCCAGCCTTGACAGTTTGGTAAAGCATTAGTGACAGCAAACTCTGACTTAAGGACAAATATTTCCTGTTTGTGTAGACTCTCACTGACATAGTCTTCTTTTAGCTTGTTTATGTGAATTTTTGGTGTGGTTTTATCTAGGGACCTAAAAAGCTTTTTTTAAAAAAAAATTGAGCCCAGCATAGGCTTCACAAACACTTCAGAATAATGGTTTCAGTTCACTCCTGGTTCAAGCAAAAATAACCCTTCAAACTATTTTTTAGTATGGATTCAGCTTGATCCTTATGTCTACTTACCAAACAGGATGATGACTGTTGGGGCAGGTGCATTAAGAGATAACATTTGCATAAAACATTTCGATGCTCTGAGTGCTCATAATAGAACAAACAGAATAGTCCTTTTTCTGAGATGGGCTCTATTTTATATCTTCATCTGCTGAATGAATAGATATTAAATCCATTCTCCTTATTTTCTCAGATACATACCTCTTTTGCTACAGTGCCCTAAATACCTATATCCAAACAACACCCTAGATTGGTTGAAAGTTAAGAAAAAATTATGACCATATCTACTCTAGGCTTCTGACTTCATTTCAAAAGTAAAAGTGATATGATTGAAGTTGGGTTGTTCTGGATGCTGTTTACAACAGTTTGACTGATGGCAGGATGAAGCCCCTTGAGCCCAGAGAACAGGCCTCCCTTGCTTCAGCACGTGACCAGGGCTGAGCTTTAAGCCCTGCTCACATCCACTTTGGCTGAACTTCACTGGCTGTTCCCACCTTCCTTTTCCAACCCAGTTCAGTTTAAGCTGTTGGAAAAAAGAAAAAAATAGAAAAAAAAGTTAAAGACAGCTGAAAAGTTAATGCAATAACGACATGAAGCTTAAGCTCCTGTGTTAATTACTCAGGGGAGTCCCAGGATGGTTAGCCATTCAGGATCAACAGAACCACTACTGGAAAATATTGATTGGCTAATTTAAATAAATTGGCGTCTTGAGCTAATTGTTTGATACAAGGGCATTAAACAATGAGTGGACAACTATTTAGGCAGATCACTACAGAGCTGTGTTTGGTTTTTAGCAAGTCTTTTGCATTGTACCCCATAGAAACCTTTGTGGCTTTATGACTTTATATTGCTGTTCTTGTTGTCAGGACTACTGGCAGATCACCAGACCCTTTCATTTTATCATAGTCATTTGTTACCTATTTAAGTATAAAGAGAAAACATGCAGACTTAGGAGCAGATTATATTGATTCTTTTGAAACAGAGAGCATTTTTCAGTGCAATACTCATCACAATTGAGGTCAAAAGAGCAGGAAAAATGTGGAGGTGGAATTGCTTAGTAAACCTTTTGAGATGCTATGGTGTGAGCCAAGCTGCAAAACCATAAACCAAAATTAACAGTCTGGCTTCACAGGAATAATTATGTGGCACGAAAGCACTTGGGAGCTGATAGGCTGTACTAAGAGGCCCTGTGAGATGACTGAATGACTAATCTCTCCCTCTCTTCACTGCTCCAGGGCACATTTGGGACGGGGACAGATGGGGTGTCCCAGTCTTGGTGCCTGCAAGGCCATGAGCAGCCCCTGAGCAGTGCCAGGTGGCTGCTGACATTGAAGCACCCCTGTGATGGGACAGCCTTCTGCAAGGGCCATGCTTTGCTCCTCTCCTTTTCTTGTTCTTTCAAGGTTGTCCTTGGGGTGAGTGTAGTGTGTCAATCTAGTGGGATTTCATCAGGAAAAGTTAGGACTCATTTGAGAGCTTAAGAAAGACAACTGACCTCATTGTGATGCACTGAGAAATTAATATGGAGCATTGCAGAGCAAACTGACAGTGTTTTTTGACTTAGAAAAGAAGTAGGTGTGAGGAGAGTTTCCTTACCTGCTGTTCCCAGCCTCCAGTGGATGTACAGGAGGCATTCCTTCACAGCTTAAAACGGGGTGATAATTGGTTCTATTCATGTGTAACCATGACCACATTTGATTTCACCTCACACAAACCTTGTTCTTGCCTCATCATTCAAGAAATCAGGCAAAGCATTGCCTTCTTCAAGTATTGCAGTGGATGCCTCTCTCTTCCCACCAGCAACATGCTTTTGAGGTACATCTGATTGCCCCCACTGCCTGTGCCTGCTGCATGCACACGACAGGGCAGCCACAGGCTACCACAGATGGCTACATTTTGAGGGAAACTAATTGTGTGCTCCAAGGATCAACAAGGGCAAGCTTAGACACCATGTCCTGGACAGCACAGCTGTAACACCAACCTAAACACTGCCTTATTAAATGTGCCATCCACTGTCCACTGAGAGGAACCTTGTGCTTGTCAGCACACAGAAAAACATCCTGGCTTTCATTTCAATGATGATTTTTATCTGCTTAGTTATGATGCAGGCTGCTCTGGTGAATGTGGAAAGTGCTTGTGTCTGGCCTGAATTTGTTTTCTAAGTGCTTGTCTCTGGCCAGATTTGTTTTCTAAGGTGTGTTTCAAACATGGCTTGGGTTAACAAGGGAGAGCTCTTGTCAATACTGAAGTCCACAGATGCAGTCATAGTCTATGGTTTTCATTTTACACTGTCTCTGGGAGGGGCTCGCTTCCACAGTCACACAGCTCTTTCATTCATGAGCAGGAAGCAGCTGTTTCTCTGGAATAGCAAGGTGTGACTCAGAGGAGAAATAAACAGAAATAAAACAAGACCAGATACTGTCTAACAAAATATACGTAGCTGAAGTTTTGTTTCAAGACTACAGCAGTTGTCAATTTTAGCTTCTTGTATTTTGGCCATATTAAAGTACAACAAGACCTTTCTGAATTTATTAAAAGGAAAAAATGTAAATGAAAAAAAAAGTAGTTGAATCTAATATATAATATTACTGAAATATAATTACCGTAGTGGAATCTCATACAGAGGATATCTATACATACAGGGCAGAATTGCCTCTATTTAACACCCTTGTCAACTCCCAGCCTGCTTATCAATTCCAGCCATACACAATAAGTGTTCTCTGTATTCACCAAAACTTATTTTTAAGCACTCAAAGATAAAATGAAAACTTGTGGAAAAAGTGCCTTCTCATATCCTGTTCTTAAACACTCCTATTTGTTTCTGTTGGTGGAAGAGGACATATGGAACTGTATTTGACCTGCCAGCCTCATACATTTAATTACTCTTTTATTTGACCAGATGTTCAGGCTAATTGCAAAGCTGAAATATGAGCACTAATAAAATAATAAACAACTTGAATAGGCAGATTTCTTGCATACCAAAGCTCTGTGTTTATGAGGTCCACCATATGTCTGAATACCAAAATCCTAACTACAACTCTCATTAAGCCCTTCTGCTGGTCTTATAGATCAAATGCATGGAGACAGTTAGAAAGTGAAAAATTAAATGTGATCCCCCCCTGCCCTGTATATCCATACTTGACTTGTACTTCGGTAATTGCCTCTGTGTATTTGTGATGAATCTGATCTCCAAAAATTTTCTTAACTTTTATGGAATCCTCAAGTTTAGAGTAATCCTAGATGAAAATCACTAAAACGTGGTAGTTAACATAAGATGGGGCAGATGGTGTCTGGATCATTCATTCTTTAAGGGACAGACATGCATATGTGTGGACATTGAAGCTGGCAGCTGAAGGAGGTGCAAGTCTTATAGAAAGTAAAATAGGGAGCACAGTCAGGTTCAGGAATCCAGGGATGAATCTTTTTTCCTGATTTATGTTCCTTAGGGTATGCCGTGAGCTGTATGGAAATTTGACTCTCCCACTGCAGCTCTCTAAGCAAACTCTTAAGCATTCAGAGGGCTAAACTCACCACGGGTTTTGTAGGTAAAATTTTCAAAAGGCTGAGAAAATTTGAGCACACACCTATCAGGGAAACTATCCAGTGATGAAAGTGATGGGAAGACTTTCTGCTGCTCCTGCACCTCTTGGTTGCTGGGGCTCATCACATTTTGGGGTGGCAAGAAACTTTTTAATCTTTCAGGCTTCTCCATAGGGGACTTTGTCACTTTGCAAAGCCAGCGCCTAGAGCTGAGGAAGCTGCCAAGGTGGCAACACATACTGTCCTGGGCTCTGTCCTGTTGTGTGTGGCAGTACAGAGGGGACTGGGGGTCTCTTCGTGCCCTGGTGTTGTACTGGGATGAAGTTCAGGCAGCCTCTTGCCCTACTTCTGTCGGTAGGACACCAGGTCTTAAGAGGTGGATTGAGATATGATCCTCTGGTGAGTGGGGGAATGACAAGTCTGTTAATAAAGACAACCTTTGTCCATGAAGCCTTGTCCTACCCTAGTTTTTCACCAGCTTTCCTCTGCCTCCCTCTGAACACTTTCACACTGCATAGCTGAGAGGGACTCAGAGGGTAACTGGAGGCCTTGGATCCTTGTCCTCCAGCTGCCTCCACAGAGGTACCCACCTACTCCTGCATCTGTGAGCCTCCAGAAAAGTCTTGAAAATATGTAGAACCAAACACCACCTCTTTTATCATGCTTCTTGAAACAGGTACTTTTTAAAGGCACAGGTTTTAAAACAAAGCAGTGGGGCTAGTTTTGCGCGATGTAAGGATCAAGCTGTGATGGTGGGGTTGTCCTGGCAGCACCCTCACCACTCAGGGGCACCAAGGCTCAGGAAGCATAAAAACACTAGCAGCCATTCATTGATGCTGTAGCCACGTGATAACATCTGCTCCTGGTTTGCCTGCTACAGCAGATCTTGAATTTCCGGGAGGAAAAGAGGGGGGAAAAAAAGCAAAAACGCAACTCCCTCCTTAGGCTGAGCACCACCTTTTATGTGGCAATGAAACATCCTCCTCCTGGTCATGCGCCACCA